CAAAAAAAGGGGGAGAATGACGATGAAGAGAATTGCGCTATTTTTGTTCTTTACGTTAGATACTTTTTGTGAAGTTAGGCAGTCAATGTATTTTTTTTTGGATGTGCTCCATTTGTAAAAAGTTTGTATGATTGCTTTGATTCTCATAGCCTAATATATCCTTTTATCCCACCTTACCTAAGCCCCATTACAACCCATTTAAACCCTTTGATCTTGTGTATTCATATTGATTCTTGGGTGGACGAGTGTGATATATTTGCAAGTTTATGGTAAAAGTTTTCATTGTCTTGACTTGAGCGTTTGTTTTGTATGTACGTATAAAAAAAATCAAAAAAAGAGAGAAAAAAATGAAGTGCGATTTTTCAGTCTGTGTAAAAGTGTTGAATGTGTCGTTATTTCTTTTGTGCTAACTTTGATTATACCGTTCACGTTTACCTTTCTTTTTATTTTCTTAAGCATTCTTTTTAGGCATAATTAGGACATGCATACTTGGTGAATGTTAAAGTTATGATCTTGTTTCTTTGTGCGATTTGTGAATCATGGAACTATTTTCTAATTCTTTGGATAATTGTTGGTGCTTTCTGTGGAGTGAGTTCGCGAGTTTGGAAAAACTTGGGTGATTATGAGATTGACGTGCATTATGATTGTGAAATCTATATTTACGGCTTTGATATTAATGTGTTGATATGATTCTTATTGATTTTGATTTGTCCGTAATGAATCTCTGTACGTTTGCATCTCTTTAGTCCGTCTTTACCGTTTCTTTTGCTGTCAAATTGTTCTTGCCTTGTTGCTGTGCTTTACATTAAGCCGTGTCAACGCCTTAGAGATATGTTGCTATCTTGTATTTTTTCCCAGTTCTGTATTTCTGTTTTTTCCCTCTATTAAAAAAAATGAAAAAAAATTGTTTCACGTGTTTCTTTTTGCTAGCGTTTTTCTTTCTTGAGCGTTTTTTTATTCATTTCTTTCTCTCACGTTTTTTTTTGCCGGGTCTTTATGTCACTCAGGCAAATTAACAGCTCGGTTCTTAGGGTTTCTCTCAGGCCCAATTCTCTTAATTCACAGCAAAATTGGACCTTTCAATTACTCGAAATTTCTTGCTGACAAATATTCTGATGGCCCCCCGTAGATCGACCAGGAAATCGGCTCCGATTGGTACGTCTTCGCCGGGTTCCTTCTTGCCGCCGGCCGCGAAATCTCGACCTCGCCGACCTCCATTTTCGTCGGCCGCTGCGATTCACCTTCCGTCTCCGCCTGGTCGTTTTCCGCGGCGTCCGTTCCTCCGGTATCTGCTCGCGGCCCACAGATTTAGCTAGGTGCTTCAGATGGGCATCTTGCCGTGGTGATTGTCTTCACCTTGCACAATTGCCGCCGCCATTCACGAGCACCGAAAAGAACCCGCAACTGAGGAACCCCGATGGTCCTCTACTATTCTTTCACGGGTGACTAATTCTTCGGCTCATATTTGTGCTCGTACGAGCACCACGTGTTACTCTGCTACAAGTCTCACGAGACGTGGCCTTCACGCATTGAGGATTCGGATTCCGATTATAGTTTGAAAGCTCGTGATAATGATATCAGTCTCAAGAGTTGCCTGACTATTGAGAGAGACAATGGTTCGAAGTTCTGAAATGGAGAAGTTTTAACTTGTCCTAAACTGACTTTGTGTAGGGGTTTGATGGAGTAAGATGTTGATACCTTTATTCACTTTTGGTACGGATCTTGATGGCCAAATTGCTTGTTGGTAACACTCTTGAACAGAGAGAAGAGGGCAACAGACGGCGACTGAAATCAAGTGCTTGAATTGAGGGGGAGTCGAAGCTGAGCTCGGGACTTGCCACCCTCGTATTCGGTGTCGAGAGTCGATGCTTTCTGACCAAAAAGGGGGAGAGGGAGAGCAGGACGTCATTTTCACTGTTTTTCTTATCTCTTCCTTATCTCTTCCTTATCTCTTTTATTTGTTTTCAATGTGCAATTTAGGGGGAGTGGCTACTAATGCTTTGGATCCATGACACGATTGTTTTGTTCAGAAAAGCAAAAAAGGGGGATATTGTTGAATTCGTTTTTTTTGTTAATTTTATTTTATTTTGCTTTTCTGATTTTTTCTTTTATATATAATATATAAGTATATTTTTATACTATTGTTTTATTTTTGGTAGAATATTATTATCATATGGTTTCCTTTTCTTAATAGGATTCTTTCTTTAGGAAGAGATATGGATGAGCTTTATAGCTGGGAAATCAAGAAGAGAATCATAACAAAAAATAAAGAGGAGCAACGTGTTTGAAGGAAAAGACAGAGAAGGCTTGTGATATAAAAGGAGCAGCCATATTTTTGTAAAAGGGAGGAGAGCAGCAGCATGACCATTATTTTGGGAAACATGAGTTTTATTCTTTTCGGTGCTTAGGAGTTTTTCAACGTGGATCAGACGAGAGAAAGGAGCAGAAAATATGTTTTTTCTCATGGCTTTGATATTTGTTTTATCATCTTTCCGTTTGGCATTATTTATTGATGATCTGTAGTAATATAGTTCATATTATTTTTAACTCGCGATTTGTTTTTCGTAGTTCATTAGATGTTTTTGTTTGGATTGGATGAAAAACTTTGTGATTAATTTGATCTAGTGGAATTTTGGCATGTGGCCTTAGTCTACAAGTGATTTTAACTTGTAGGCTAAATTTTGAATCGTTTGTCTTTGTTTTTTTTTTTTTTATTTTTGATCTTTGTGTGAAAATCTGGAGTTTTCGGTACCTAAAATTCTTACATAACTAACCTTTGGTGCTCGACCTTCCAAGACATCCTTGAAAACAGGAGACTGTTCAAGCACGTTGATATCATTTATGGACCCAGGAGTTCCAAAAAATGAATGTCAGATCCATAAATCCTGTGATGCAATGGCTTCCAAAATGATTGTTGCCTTACCCTTTTTTCCTGTATATTGTCCTACCCATGCAGCAGGACAATTTTTCCACTCTCAGTGCATGCAATCAATACTTCATAACATACCTGGGAAACCTCTTTGTTCACCAATATGCAACAAATATGCTAAGTCTCCTTCATTCGGCTTTCTGAGATACTCATCACCAAAGTTTGAAATCACACCCTGCACAAATTTTTTAACAGATTTTCTAATAGTTTGTGCACTCATTCGAAAGTATTCATCATTCAAATCAGCTCCTGTACCGTATGCCAAAACTCTCATAGCTGCAGTACATTTTTGAATTGAGGACATACCTAATCTCCCAGTTGCATCCCTGTTTTGTTGAAAAAATTCTTCTGTTTCAACGAGTTTACTCATTATTCGTTCGAATAATGGCTTTCGCATACGAAATGTTGTTCGGAAAACTTCTGGAGGATATACTGGATCATCTGAAAAGTATTGCTCGAACACCCCTTCATGGTCCTTCTCACGTTGTCGCTCAATGTAGCATAGTCGGGGCTCATTAGCGGTGTTTGTAGGCTGAAAAGATATAGTAGGAATGCGAAAAGCAATTTTCTCCATTTGTGAGTCAATTTGAAGATTTTGAAGTATAAGGCCTTCATGCCATTCATCAAAGTTTTCATCTGATGACATCTTTTGCAAAGTTTTGGTGGAAATGATAATTTGGATAAGAAGAAAGTTTTGATTGTAGTGATTTGATGATACAAAATTCAGGTGTGTTGTATTTATAAATGCTAGGGGTCAATTTGACGTGGATTGTGCTTTTTGAAAGAATGGATCAGATTAATTGCTTTAGTGATGAACGGTGAAAATCAAATTGACGAAGATTGTGCTTTTAACAAACGGCTCAGATTGAATTCTTTTGTGAGAAGTGATGAGGATTTATGTTATATGATTTAACATATTTATTTTAATTTAAAAATAATAAACAAATACAACATAATTAGTATATATATATTCATACATACTTAAAACTTACGAACTTTGATATATTTATATTTTATTATATAAAAAATATACGAAATTTAAAAATTATATATTTATGTCAATTTAAAAATAAAAAAATAAGTATAGCAAAATTGGTCTCTATTTGTAGTGAATTAAAAAATTATGAATTTTGGTATATTTATTTATTTATTTTTATTTTATTATATAAAAGATATATTAGTTTAAAAATTATTAAAAAAAAAAAAGATGAACCCCATCCCAATGGTTCATTTATCATAAAGTAGAACATACCACTTGGTTGCCTATCCCCCAAAACACACCACCTCCAGCACCGTGGTCTCTCCTCTTTTCTCATTTTTCTTTTTTTTTTTTTTTGTTTAATTTCCACCTGGACACACTAGGGCTCCCCCTGGTTTCTGTTATTCCTAGTCTTAGTAGGTCTTTTAGGGTTTAAGATGGGGACTTAGCTGATATTGATGCGACACAGTGATTCCTTTCTAGGAGGATGGTGGTTGTAGTCTTGTTCAGTTAGGATGGTCAGATATTTTTCTTCATTGCCTAAAGTGAAAAATTGCTCGTAGTGGAGAAAGGCTTGTAATGGCTTAGGATTGACTCTAAGGAAATCCTTTTGAGGCCTCCAAACCCTACTATTTATAAAAGGGGAGATCCTTCAAATAAAAGAATCTGAGATGCGTGTCATCATCTGGGAGACTTAGGGCATGCATGGTGACATGTGTCTTGACAAGTTGCAGCAACTTGTTCTACTTAGGCTAGTAGTTTATCCTTTTTGGGTAGTAGGAACCGATTCTGGACGACAACTCTTTTCGCATTAGCTCAGGGTTGAACTCGATTGGACTGAGATCAGCAACAAGATGTCAGCATGATTACTCGTAGATTGGAACGAGATCGGCGTATTGGAGAAACCTTCGAGATCGGCGTCTTTCATCTTGGAAGAGGTGCTTCATGGTGTATAACGACTCCGAGGATATAATTTTACGCTCCGTTTGTTTTGGGGAATTTGAAATCCCTTGATTTCAAAATTTTTGAAATATAAATTTTTTTACTTGCACACTCATTGAATGGATGTGTTGAAAATGTTACAAATAAATTGTCTATCTCGCACCGATAGTGTTGACTTGCGGTGGTGATGAACCTAAATGATCGCGGACGGCGTGGTCGTCAACAGTGATAAACAGTAGATTTCAAATGACTAGGTTTGAGAAGTCATTTCAAATACTTCAAAATAATGACTAAAAAACATTTAACATAAATTTGAAATCCTCCAACTTTCATTATCATTCCAACATGCATGAACATTTGAACTTGTAAATTTGAAATCTATAAATTTCAAATCTCTAAGTAAAAACCCTTAAAACAAACGGAACCTTATAGTAATTGCATCACGACTATCTTCGTTGGCCCAATTTGGGTCAACAAATTTAGTACATCAACAAATATATAGTGGGAGTTTGGAATCAACGATTAAAGAAGATTTTGCACATAACATTATTAATTATTCACATTTGACAAAAAGAAAAAGAAAACACTAATTAAGCAAGTAGAGATAATCAAATTTTCTTTCTCTCTCCATTTTGTTTTAGGACAATAAAAATAATTGAGAGATATCATTGTAAATCACCATGGTTAGTGGTAATACACAAAATCATAACAATTAGGGCAGACAAAAACATAATGTTTGGAGGTAATAACGGTATATGAGGAGCACCGCTCCCAAATATCATTCCAAAATAGTCGCCACCACTACCACTGCTCCCACCGTCATTGCCGCCACTTGGTGTCGACGTCTCTCCGCCTTCGCCATATGAGCCAACATTTTTGTCCCTGAATTAAATCAAAATCAACAACAATAGGATGGGCTTTAGCTCCAAAATCTTGTGACTAATTTAGGTCAAGTAATATAAGGCACACAGAACCTATAAAAAAAAAAANGTGAAAAGTGATCATAGAAGTAGTGACTAATAAAAAAACGAACTTATTGGAAGCTCAAAATTATAAGAGAAAAAAAATGTAAGGTTTGGTAGGTTATAGCCTTATAGGCAAATGTAAATTTTATCCTCAAGACTAAAGATAGGTTCAAATTCAATGCATAGAAAATAATCACCAACCCATTATAGGCAATATTGGGAATGTATTCATAGCGGGCCATGCTGGTATCATCTGATAAATGTGAATAGTATAGACATTTAATGCAATCAAAACTTAATTATTTGTTTATAAAAAAGTTATATCCAAATATGACTCCGAAGTATTATGTTTGCCACATATGATTTTGATCGTACGAGTCTGTCATTTAAACTCAACGCATTCAGAAATTATATATAATGAGAATATATATATATATATATAAATGGGGAGACGAGGTAGATCTACCCCTATATTACCCCTACATACATATAGACAAGGTGATATTTCAAAATCATAAATATCTCATTGACAATCATATCTTCTAGAAAATTGTGTTTTAATACAGATGCAAACCTCCTAGAGATGTTCAAAAAGGTGATAGTAATTTTGATAGTTATACTGAATTTTAGTAGGGTAGAGACTGTAAATATACCAAAGTAAGAGTTAAATCATACAAATGGTTAAACACCAAGCGAGCTAAAAGCCAGAAACGCAGACTACAGGGTCAGGGGCACAAAAGTAATTTGATAATATATGGACAGCCCCCTCCCCTTTCTACTCTCCAATGCAAAACCACTGGCAATAAGCTGTCTTTAAAAAGCTCTCACAAAAACTGAGATGGCCCCACATCGCATGGGCTGGCCACCACGAAAATCTTAAAATAATGCATGCATCATTTTTGTCATTTCTAAAATAAAAACATCATTTTCTGAATATCAAGAAAAAAAATATTAATAATAATAATGTGAGATTTGAAAATATCTTCTCACTAGTCAAGCAAACGGTGGATATCATGTGGTGGCCCCACCTTTTTGTCTTGAAAACAGAACAATTTAATTTCATTGGCAAGTTGCAAGGACCAAAAGTGCATCTGCTCCTTGACTTTAGACACTTTATAGATGGTGACACATATAATATAGACGTTTGAGAGACCATTCCCATTGTTGATTTAAAATTGGACACCAACAAATTTATATACATTTTCCCATAATGAAGATAAAAAAATGTAAGTTAAAAATACCTAGATATTATACTAGATAAATGCTATACATAACACTCACATTAAGTGGGACCTATCAAAAATAAAAAATCAAGTGGACCTACTTCATGTGAGTGTTATGTACACATCTATGTACATTTATTATATACATGTTTCCATTATAATAAGTAGTACATTTTTCACCATTTTGAAATTTATGCACAACCTCATCCTACACTCCTTCATATCTCACAAAAGTCTGATATTTTTTCATGGGGACAAGTTAAGTCACTTGGATGTGCTAAGATAAAAATAATCTTGATTTTTGACGGTTTATGAGATTTACTCATAGTAACCATCAAAGTAATTGAGTGTATGAAAACTACGAAAAAGAAGAAAAGGTAAAAAAAAAAAAAGCAAAAAGAAGACAACCACACATTGTTTGCGGATTCTCATTTTCCTCACCTAAAAAGCACTTTCTTTTTTCCTCATAGAATTTACAAACCACCCAATAAAAATATTGACTTCAATTTCATGAAGGAGGCTTAAAACAATAACCAATTAGTAAATCATAGATGATGCCTACAGAATCTACAATGTAGTGAGTCTAGTTTTGCTCACGTGGCATGTTAATAAATTGAAGTCTTGGATGACATGGATACAACAATATAAAATTAACAAAATTCACTCTAATGCAAGAGACTAGGTATCTTCTTGGATCTAAAATAGACTTAAGTGTAGACCGAGTCTTATTTTCTTACTGTCACATCAGCACGACCCAGTCCACTTACACTTGCATTAGAAAATATATTTTTTTAGTTTAAGTCTATTTCTGGCATATAAATTTTTTCTGAATGAACCAAAGCATTGTGCATGGTCACAATATATATAATTCTATTTGTGCACACATACAAACATACATACATACCTTGGGCCACCAAGAACCCCGACATTCATGGTGAGTTGATCGATGAGTGTAGCTGACTTGGGCTCGAAGCTTGAAGAGTCGGTAGACTCCCGAATTGCCCCTTGTCCCGATGGCACGAAAAACGCACCATTTACCATTATATCCCCCTCTGTCCTCCAATTCCAGTCCGACCACTCCCCTTCGCTCGTGTCCTCACGTCTCGTCACCTAT